TTTATCATTTTTGTTATTGGTTGTTGAGAACTAAAATGAAATCATATCGAATTGTATGTTAGATGAATATTAAGTGAAGATGAAAATAGATTTTTTTTTGAAGGATTACGTTAGATACTTGAACTAAACAATCTATATTCCATATAACAATGTAAATCAACAACATTTAACATGATGTTCATGTCAAAAAAAAAGAGAATAAGACCATGAGTCTGATCATGATAGAATAGAAAAATAAGGAATGTAATGACAAAAAAACCTATAAGTTGCAAATACCGATGTGTGACAATAGGAAAAAAAGTTATTAGATGAAATGTTATTAACTGACTCTTGCATGACGCCATAGTCACTATTCGAAAAGCTAACATAACAATCATATTTAATTACTTTTTCTTTGACAAACAAAGATTATTGATTATTAACGTTGTTTTTTTTTTCATTATTTCTTTTTTTTGGTCAATACACAAAATAAAAGAAAAAGATGTTTTTTCCCAATTAATATTATTCCAAAAAAAAAACTCAAGTAAATATTTGATTAATCAAAGAAAAAGTATTTCTAATTTTTTTTAAGATCATATATGTTAAATGTGCCATGTAACTGACAAATGTCAAGGCTAGAGATTGTAAGCTTGTTTAATTGTCAAAATTGATAAATGATGACATCTGCATAAAAAAAAGAAAAGAACGAGATGGACCAAAATGCCTTGTTAGTACACATACAGTGTGTTCATTCATTCGACATGCCTATATGATAGTAACTACAAACGTTTATCTATCGGCTTGTTTACTGATGACAGAATTTATGTGTATGTGCTTTTTAGCTTAAGACTGATTATGCAAAGTAAATATATGCACATATAACCTTGATTAGAAAGAGACTCTATATCATGCTATCTTAACTAATTATAAACGAATAAAAAACTTACATATTGTTATTATTATTATTAATATTTGATTGTTGTTCATGAGAAAGTAATGAAAGTAAATAATCACGTTCAGCTTGTATTGTTTTTAATTGTGCTTGAAGTTTATTTAATTCATCTTGTTGTTTTTTAATAATATTATCTTTTTCTTCAATTAATGTACGTGTACCACCTGGTGGTGGACAATCAATACGTTGTCGTAAATATTGTTCCATTACTAAACAATAATTATTTCATTCTGAAAAAGAAACACAGAAAAAACAAAACAAAAAAAGTTTCATTGAATAATTCTCTAAGAATATATATTTTTTTCTTCTCTTTGACAATATGAAATGTTTAATAGTAGTAAGGTAACCATCGTCATTGAACTTTTCTTCTTCTGCTCATAACCATGTGAATGCTACTCTTCCTAAAACGGTGAGAGAAATCAAACACAGAGGCACACAAAAAAAAGAAAATGTTGAGAGACGTCGACGATGATGACAAATGTTCATTGTTCATCACTTCTTCCGTTCTTTCAGTAAAAAAACCGAGAAAGAGAGAAAGAAAAAAAAAATAAAGGACATGAACGAGAAAAGAAAAGACGAATGCAATGACTTATTATTATCTTCTTCACTACTGTTGTTGATAGGACATAGTGACGACTCTAACAACGGAAAACGTGATACTATTGTCAAAAAAAAAGAAGAAGAATGACGCCAATGACACGGGAACGAGACGAGCATATGCAAAAAAAAAGAAGAAATTTAATAATATTTTGAACAATTGAGAAATAAATGGAGTAATATTGTATAAAACATAAGAACAATCATGACATTTTCGAACTAATTATGAAAACCATACACGGGTCATTGTTAAAATTGTTATTTGAGAGAATGAAATGTCTCATAATCGCCTATGTCACTTTCTATTCGTATAATTAAATTGGTCGTAGACAATGTTCTTAACATATAGGCACTTCATATCGTTCTCGTCTCAATGAGTAGCTCTTTAACTTCCGCCATGTTTTCTTTGACCATGTCGGTTTCGTTTGAACACAAGGTCAAGTTCGAATTAAAAACAGATATGTCGATCTTATGACAAAATGAGATAAGATAAAGAGAGAGAAAAAATTACGGTGGCGTTAATTGGATTGCGAATAAACTTACACACGTCGATATCTCATGGGATTCAATGGTCACAATCTCGGATAGCCTTCAGGAGAAAAAGAGAATACACGAAAAAAAAAACGACAAATAATAGAATGTTCAGAATATAATTAGTCTGTAAAGCAGAATAGATATTCCTTCTCATCTATAACAATGTATAAGAAAAGATCTCGATTGAGTATATTGATTATTACAAAAAGAAAACAGAAAGATTTTTATGTGTTGTTCGTTAACATTAGTCATCTATTCACTTGATGTGATTACATCTGTCGATTTTTTTTTAGTGAATTGGTTAAGATCTCTATATTGTATATTGATGCCGCATTCAACAGATGATCTATTATAATCAATATGCACATTTCCCTTGCGCCATTGTTTCATTGCATAGTTAAGTAGTGAATTCTTTACTATAATAGATAGACATATGCTTGAATATCATCAAGAAAGTGAATCAAAAAAAAAAAAAAAAAAAAAGAAATAAACAAATAATAAGCCTTGACCGAATAATGATATGGCGAGAATAAGATGAAAAGCCGAAAGACATCAACTTGTCTTAAAAGAGCAGAAAAAAAGAGAGGTGCAAAAAAATAACCATATGGCTTCAGGAAGAAATCTTATAACATGATATGTACATAAATAATCGCGTATGTTCTTTCTCTCGAAATTGTCATCATTATTACTACATTGCATTTTCTTCAATATTATTATTATTATTATCGTACGTAATACGATAGATCCAATCTAGTCATTTGTTTTAATAATCATATTAAAAGATCGAGAATAACAAAAAAAAAAAAAAGAAATATGAAATTATTTGATAAATGTGAACAGAAGAATCCTTTCTTTTTTTGTTTTGTTTTATCTTACCTTCATATTTCTTCAATAGATAATATAAGATTATTTATAGCCAAAGGAAATGAACAATGACCAAGGAGAAGTGAGACAAAAGAAAAACTGATGAAAGCTAGTGGAAATCATAATGATTGTGGATACCAATCACTATCGTCATTTTTCTTAGAAATAAAGAATAATAATAATAACAGTGATATATACAAGCATCTTCCGCATCTGTATTGTGTAATGAAAAGTAGGAGCTATTTTCAATGTATTAGAGCAGTCAGCTACGCACCCAGCCAGTGTTCATTTATATGTATGTGCGCCTACAGTCGTTCTTTCGTCTATTCACTGTTTGTTTTGCTGCTATATGCTTTTACTACTCCTGCTGTTGCCGTCTTTTTCTCGTCGTCGTCGTTGTCGTTCTTCCTAATTTCTCGTGGCACTGACAATAATAATGAAGCAGAACATACAAGAACTGAACTGTACATGACTCTACTATCGTGGCACGCGTTCATTGTCCGAACGTGTAAAAAAAAAAGTAATGGAAAGAAAAAGAGAGACAGCGAGAGAACAAAAGACAGTCGATTCTTTTTTTTTTGTCTTTTACTGTACTCAAACGAACTGTGTGTGAACAGATGTTTAACGATCTTTCTCATACGAACAAACCGACTGTCAAGAGGGTTGTTGCTAGTCAGAACTGTAGTTGATTGATGACAAGTTAACTCTCGAGTGATTGTCAACAAGGAGAAAAATATAAAAGATAAAACTATATGATGATCATCAAGACAGAATAGATCGATCAAACAATCGGAACAACTATCGTGTAACATTGAATGACAATAAGAGTTTGAATAATTATGTCAGATAATAGATGAACATAACGTACATGAGAAAAAATCTAAGAACATGTGAGAATTAGTTCATTGATTTTCCCACGAGAATGAATAATCACTGTTTCAAGTATAAATGAGTAAAACAAGGTCTATTCAGATTCTCATGAGATCAATATGTACGAGAAATCATCTATAATTTTCCTTTTCTTTTTTCTTTTTTCTTTTTTTGTTTATCTTGAATCATTTTCTAAACTATGTTATTCATCGTTTAGTTACATGATGTTGATCATAAGTATGATAATAAAAATAAATGAAACATAGCTATATAGAAATCTTTTTCTTTATGGAAGAAAAAAAGACAAATATCTCATGCTAGATAATAGATGATAATTTTCAAATGGATTATATAATAGATTAACATCAGCTTATATACATGAATAAAAATTTTAATTATTTAAAAATATATAGAAAATCATAATTATTTGTTACTCAAATAAGTCTTATAAAGTAATATTAAACTTTTCTTTTGTCTTTTTTTGAATCAGAAAAAGTTCATTTTGTTTAATGAATAATTATAAATATTAAAATGTTCGAAGTCTTTTTTTTTTCTTCTTTGTTTTATACTTAATACCCTTGAGCGTTCTTTTTCTATGTTATTCTTTTTCTTTTGATTGATGTTTAGAAAGGTTTGTTATACTTAACCGACAGCAACTAATTGTATCATAGAACAAAGTTGAATGACTAAAATTTTACTTTTTTATTTTGATAAATGAAATATCAATTGATTTCATCATATATTATTCATATCACTATTATATATTAGATACATTAGAATTTAAGATGTCAAATATAATTTCTATTACATTAGAATTCATTCACTTAGAACACATTTACCAAATTTTAAAATCATTATTTATATTATCTACATCTGTGATAATAAACAAATAATAATCGACCTTCATTAGGTATGTTTCAACGATGAATCTTTTGCTCTAAGCTAATATATAATCCATACCATCTTCTGTCAACTTTGCTCATGTCATGTCATCATTAGTTACCTTGTCAATCTCATATAGATAGAAAACAAGAAAAGATAAATAATATAAAATGAATATAAAAAAAAGAATTTGTTTTTATTTATTTATCAAAAAATACTAAATCAAGATAATGGAATCAATAAAATACATTACGTCAAAAAAAACAAACAAACAAAGATTTATATTGCAAATAAAAAAAAAACAAATACCTTTTGGAAATTATTAACATAATAATTCAATATTTCCATTGTCGGAACCGAAAAGTAGAAGACGATTTTCTGGAAATAATGCCATTGATGAAATTGTACCTTTAATGTTATCAGATTGAAGACGTGTACATTGACAATCCATCTTTTGATTTTTTGAACGAAAAACAATTATTTACAATTCAAACATAATACAATATAAATATATACTACCTGTGCTACTCCTTTCATATTGGAATAAATACATAATTTATTTGTTTGTGTAGCAACAATAAATTCTCCGCTACGTGTTGTTAATACAAATGGAGCAGGATCAGTATGTACTTTTTAAAATAAAAAAGATTTCGAATTTTTTTTTTTTTGTTTTTTGTTTATTCAAAATAAAATATATTACATTTTAATAATGTTGGTGTTGCTTGTGCTAATTCTTTTGTATTCCAAAGAAATATTGAACCATCACCTGAGCTCGTAAAAAATCGACTACGACTATAAAAATTTGCCTGAAAAAAAAAACCGATCAAAGAATTATTTGAATATGAATCAATTTGTTCATTAATTACTTTTAAAACTTCTCCTTCAGGTACTTTTAATGTTCCTAAAATACCACCTGAACGTACATCAAATACTGAAACAGTACCCGTTGTAAATCCAATAACAGCTGCATGTGCATTTGGACTAATAGCAAGTGTTTTTACTTGACCTTTAATATTCAAATACATTTTTTTTGTAGATTCTTTAATAATATAAAATTTTTCTCACCACCTGCACCCAATGTTGTTTTCCATTCATAAGCAAGAGCTTTTGTTCGAACATCGAGAAATCTAAATGAGACAAAACGAAAAAAAAAAATAATTGTTATAATTATTTCGATTTTAAAAATCTTCAAAATCTAATTCATGAATGACAGAAAAAATAAACAACAAAGTCAGGATAAACTGGTATATGTTAGTGATAATATATTTTACATCACATGAGAAATTATAACTCGTCTCATTCAAATATAATTTATCATCATATAACTTTCGATAGAAGAAAATCATGTGTTCAATATTAATGTCAACATAATTGGTTTTTAATATCTATTATTCCGAATTATCGACAAATGTCGTCTTTCACAAAAAAAAAAAAGGAGACCACATTGTTTCCGACAGGAGTATCGTTTTAGAATTAGCGTTTACTAATATTAATGCATTAATCATTAGAATCTTAATGCTTTGCTATTAGTTGCATTAAAATTAATTCTAATACATAGATTACTAATGAATAGGTTCTCCGACACTCCAAGCCTAAACAATTTTATTCTGCTTTTGGAATTGACACTTTCGGGTATTAGAAAATTTTATTCTGTTATTGGAAACTTTTGAAGATGAACTCTCAAAGGATATGTATTAGAATTAAAAATAATATTAGCAGCTAAGTTTTAATTTGATTCTAATGCAAATAATATAAAAGAATTAAGATTAATTTTAATAGGAATGCTAATCTGACATCTCTAGTTACCTATTTTCTTGTAAGATATTTCATTTTAAATACGAGTCTCTCACCGAAATATGATGTAATTATTTGTCTATTTTCTATGATTTTACACACCTGACTATTCCATCACTAGTTGCAGCTAGAATATTTGTACTAGGCGCTGGCATAGCAGCCATTGCAGCAAATGCTGAAGTTTCTTTTGATTGTGTATAACGATAAACTAGTTGACCACGAAATGGATCTAAGATCTATTGATAATTTCAAAAACATTTCAATAGTTTATAATATAACAAAAAAAAAACAAGAAAAAATATTTACATGAACTGAACCATCACATGTTGCTGCTAATCGAAGACTTTCAAGAAATGAAATAGCAAAAACTGATTTACGATAACCACTATATGACCATCGACTTTCAACTCTAGCAAAAAGAAAAAATAGTTCAAATCAATTATCAAATAATTCTTTTGAAAAACTAACTTTGTTGCATTATCATTTTGATTTTCAACTTTCCAAACTAATAATTTTTGATCTCGACCACCACTAATAAATGTTGATTCATCATCAAGTACACATAAACTACGAACAGCATTTGTATGACCTTAATTTAAAAGACAAAATAATTATATTGATTTTCTTTAAAGAAAAAACGAAACATGAATTTTAATTACCAATAAATGATTGTAAATGTATTTGTTTAAAACTTAATATTGCATTTTCACTACGACCTACTTCATGTTCCCAATATGAAAGCCAATTTTTACGTAAAAATCGATTTTCATCTGTATATTGACTAAACGTCAACAAATATAAAATAAAAATTTCAAAAACAAAAAAAAAACCAATCTTTACTATCGAACATCACGATCACGAATTGATATAAGAACATCACTCGCTGATATTGAATCATTTCGAGACATTACTAAAAATATTTATATCAATACAAAAAACCGAAAATTCTAATATAAATGTACCATCTGGTTTCGATGTTAATTCAGCTATCCAAGCATAAATTGTATCATTTCTTGTTACTAATGAATTCATATGTTGACTAAAGAAAATATTTGAACAGAAATAAAATATTTTTAGAAAAAAAAAAGAAAATTATTTACTCTCCACATAAACGACAAAATTGAACAAATGCCGTACATGCTAATTCACTAGTAAATGTTGCGTCTATTTCTTGTTGTATTGACTCACGTGTATGAGTATTTGTTGTTGATAATGATGAACTATCATCTAAAGTATTAATAAAAATATTTTATTATTATCATTGAAAATGATCTTTGATTTGTTTTTTTTGTTTGTTTGAATTTACCTTCCATAAATGGTGCCGTTAATAAACTATGACTAGCACTTCGTGCTTGTTTATTATGTGAATTACGTGGTTTAATCGGTGAATCAATTTTATAAGAATTTGTAATACTATCAATAGTTATTCGACAATATTCATCACCATCTATACTACTTGCATGTGTATTATGACTGGATAAAGATGTTGGAGAATTTGGACGATTTGTTGAAGAGCCTATGATTAGATAATTGATGTCAAAAAAGTGTTTGTTTTTTTTTCAAGTAATTTTACCAGTAATTGAAGTTGTACGTGATCGATTTGTATCATCTGTTGGTTCATGTGTTGATTGAAAACAAGCAAAAAATGCTCGAATTGAATCATTCATATATAAACGTGTACTTTCATAACCCAAACGTAGACTAAGTAAAAATAATACATCGAGTACTAAAATAAGAAAACAAGAAAACTGAATATATGTTGACCTATAATAAAGAGTTTTCTTAAGATTAACAATTAAATGATACTCAATTTAATGAGAATAGCCGAAAATTTTTTATGTTTATTGTATTGCTTAGCTTTGAGAATAATAAAGAACTTGTCCAATTATAAACAAGTCACATGGAAATCTATATAGATCAAAGAATTAAAACTTACTACGATAGGCACATATGGAGCGAGCTCGTTCAAATGATGGAAAATGTACAGCACTTGATGAAAGTAAACTAAGACTTGAATGAATTATTCGATTTTTAATTGGATCCTAATTCAAAAAAAAAACGAGAATGAACAAATATTATTGATTTTCAAAAAAAAAAAACAAAAAGATTCATATTTACTGTTAAATGAGTCATTAATGTACTATCACTCATATATGGAAGAATACATTTAAAAAAAACAATACCACTAAGTAAACCTGATTCCGTACGAATTGTTAATCGATGATTTGCTACTCGAATCTATCAAAAAAAAATTTTTTTATTGAAAAATTTAAATCAATGAAAACAAGAAATAATTCGAACCGTTTCAATAAGATGTGGAAAATAGAAAAGAAGAATAATTTGTTCACCATAATTTTGAATAAGTGATAAAAGACAATCAATAATTTTCTTTGCATTTAAATCACCACGTATAGGACGAATACTTTTAAATGGATTTTTATCCGATGACAATAATTGTAATTGTTCATCATCAACATAACATAATGCAAGCATACGAAGTAAATGTCGACCAAAATATTTACAACCAAGTACAGGACCTAATTTTATTTGTAAATAAATAATACTTTCAACAGATGAATCTGATAATAAATTTGAACTATGTTGTTGATCTTCATTTGCCTAAAACGAAAAATAATAAAAATTAATTTAAGGATAATCTGTTCCTCCCCTCATTTCCGGACGTGAATTGATTTTTATTGATGGCTAGTATGCTCTTCGACGATCTTTCTTTTGGGTTTAATCTCTTTGTAGTTATCTCATTTTTCTCTGAACTTAGAAAACTAGCTCATCGAATGTGTATTAATCAAAAATCTATAAAACCTTAAATCGAAAGAAAAAAAAGATGAACATTCAGGAGAAAATTGAAATTCAGTTTTGTTTTGCGTTTTTTCTCAAAATCAAATTTTATACAAAGGAAAAAGTGTTGTTTCGCTCCACATGATAAGAGGACTTGAGTTGAAGCTTTTCTTTTTACTTCAAAAGCACTTGTATCATAATCTTGTGGCGTAAGTGTATCTGATCGTTCATTTGAAGTATCGTCTGTCTCAACATTTGAATCACTTGTAGTATTATTACTATCATCATCTATTTCAATTCGAAGATTAATTTCATCTTTAAAACCTGAACATGCTTCAATAAGTAATATTGGAAAACATTGTAAAAATTTCGTTAAATTAAAACGTGCAATTAATTGAATTATAAAACGACGTGTAAAACAACGCCAATGATAAATTGTTGTCTTGTCTGGATTTAGTGCTGATTGTATTAATGTTAATAATTGTCGTCGTGATTCATCAGGACCAAGAACAATTGCTATAGGATTAAATAATGAATAAATACAACGTATACCATATATTGGTTGACGAAAACCATGAAGAATATAAGGCATTAATAATTCATGACCTTGTTGAGTATGTAATGATAATAGTAATGACGGGATTTGTGTTAATAAAAGATAAAATTTATTATCATGAATTTGTTTTTGTTGAATTGATGTTAAATTAAGAAGAAGTTGTTGATCAAATTGTTCAAATTGATGAATAAATCGATAAAGTTCTTCGAAATAAAATGGAAATGGAAAAGGCCTAAATGAAGAGAAACTATTATATTATATCAGTTGTTTTTGTTTTGATGGAATCCGATTCTCGTTTAATTATAAAATCATATGAATCACTCAAGACTAATGACGAAATGATTTCTAATAGAATCCGACATGAGTAAGTTTTCCAAGCTTAGTCTGACTCGGAGATCAAAAATACTTTTTCGTCAATCAAAGCGAATTTTTGTTAAAGATTAAACATCGTTATTGGTAAATATATATATATATATGCGAGCTCTCCCTAAATGGAAAAGCACGAGATAGTAAATTCCTATTTTCAGGAAATTAAAATAAAATACCTATGAGAAAAATTTCATGGAAATTTATTTCAATGCTTTGAGAAATAAGCGCAGAAAAACGATTTTAATATAAAAAGAATATAGAAATGAAATGTTTATTAGAGCTGCCAGCTTGACCCGAGATCATCTCTTTCCTCATAGCCACCCACCGAATTTGTCATTATACTATCTGCATGAAAATAAATTAAGTGTATAGCTGAAACTAGAATGATTCATCATAATAAAATTATAGAACTTAGCGAATTTTAAAAAAAAAGACAAATATCAGTCAGTTTCGTTTGCCCTACAGACCAGGCTGAAAAAAAAAGTGGTCTGTTAACAGCTCTGGTTTATATCTTTGAGATTGAGTAACTTGCATATTAGCATTGATGACTAGCCCTATAAAGTAGTTTTTATAATTTGTCTTTGACTTCTAAAATATATTTAAAGTAAAACGTTAGCTAATTCACAAACATGCAAGTCAGAAGATAATTTATATAAGGGTGTGAGTGTAGGTGAGACTCTTCTCTTCACTTACGCACACTTTCAAATGGTACAATTCGAAATAATTGTAACGTTTCAATTGAATGTGTAAAAATGAATTTTAGCTATACATCATTGACATTTTATCTGAATCTTTGCAGCTATTATGCCCTCTTGAAAAAAATGGAGTCATTATCTCATCCAGAATTGCTGTTTATCCTAGATGAAACTTGATATTGATCAATTTATTATGATCCGACCCGACTCAAACTCTGATCTTTCTTGATCAATCATCATCATTATATCACATTTCAGTTTATTATCTACTAAATACTTTGATTGTGTTCTAATCAAAACTAATTAAGGGAGTTGCTCGTTAGAAAATCCAATTTTTCGAAAAAACATCGAAGTTGAATTTCTGTCATATGAACATGCACCGAAGCTTTCTCTTTCAAGACATATATATATGGCTTTTCGCAAAACGATCAGTTTTAGCATTGGATCAAACATTTTTATAATTAACCAGCATGATAGATGGTGTTAGGTATCTTCGTCTGTTACGTGCTTTAAAACAGTTCACTAAAACGTATTAAAAATATGCAATTGTAATATGATTTTTCTCTGGATTTGAATGAAAAAATCCATTTCTAAAACTTCTTTAGCATTTTTCTCAAAACATGATTTCGAGGAAGGACAATTGAAATAACTCCCTTCTGGTTCAAGCTATAACTAATATTTCTTTTGTTGTTTTAAAAGTTTCAATAACATTAAACTTTTGTTCGATCAGATTTTTTTATATTAGGTGCCTGGCCTGAGAAAAGTAAAATTTAATGTCGTAAGAGTCCTCTATTTTTGTGCTTATTTAAATACCATGTCTATTACAATGTTCATAAAAAATGAATGAAAGAGAATTTCAAAATTCTGTTCGAACAGAGGTTAGCTCTAATTTGAAACCAGTCCGAGCTCTGTACCTCTTATAGTGACGAAGTTACAACGAGTCTCCTGGAAGTCACATAAACAAGGTCGAAGTTTGGTCTAGTATGACATATCGGGCTGGGATTTTTACCATAAGCGTTTCTCTTTAGGAGCACTCATTCCTGCAAATTTCAGCCCAAACAGTCTGTTCTAAGTAGTAAGTCAATTCTGAGGAAGAGATCTTAATATACATCAGAAACATATATCTTTTAATCGAAAAAATTGTCTTACGTTGTCCATCGATTTAAAAAAAATGCGACATTAATAGCACGATTTGAAATTTGTTGTTGAATATTATTTTCATTTTCATTTGTTAAATCCATTAATAACAAACTAAGACACGTACGAAATGGTCTAGAATAATAATTTTAATCAAACATATTCAAATATTTTTGCTCGTTTTGTTTTTTTTTTATTCTTACATAGGAATAAGATGCCAATTATTATCTAATAATTGTTTAGCTGTTGTTAAACGTTGTGAACCATTCGAATTTGCTGATATATAATGTTGTTTACCAAGTAAAATTAATTCTAATAAACATACACCAAAATATTGTAAATCACGTTGACATGCATGAAGAAATGTTGATGTAAATTTTGATGTCTAAATATTCAAAAAAAAAAACAAACTATTTTTCAACATAGAATTTTATTTTGGTGAAATATACTTGATTATTTAAACTTGACGATGGAAGTCTACCAAATGACATTGAAGTTAATAAAAGTAATTGTTCAATAGCATCCAAATGAGAAAATGTATCATTTAATTCATTAGCTAATAATATTGACTCATTTGATCGACTACTGCTTACAGCTGATGGTGCTCTAATTCAACAGAAAAAAAAGCAAAGATTTTAACAAAAAAAAAAGACTTTCAATAGAATAAACCTTATTTTTCTTGTTTGTTCTTCATCAAGTATTGTAGAATGACGTGTTGTTGGTGTCAAAGATGAATTTTCAATCATTTGTCTTGTAGATGCAAGAAAACGTGGAGGATCTAAATAAATAATTTTTAAGGCACAAAAAAAAAACAAGAAATTTTATTTTTATACGAGGTTTAAGAAATAATTGTACAATTCCTCCATTACGTAAATCTTCATGATGATCAACTAATGGAAGACAAACATTTTTTGCTTCAACTGCACTTTCACCAGTTAACTATTACGAAAAGAAAAAAAAAACAATAATTTTATGAAATAAAAGATCAAACGAAAAAAACAAACTTTATGACCAAATATTAAATCAATCCATAAATGAATATTTTCTGATATTTCACGACTTTCTAATAATTGTCGATGTTTTTCAACAAATTCCTCTAGAATAAAAACAAAAAGTAGTTGTTTTGTTTTTTTTTTTTTGAAGAAATCTTTCGAAAAATTTAACCTGGACTTGAACACCAATCTGGTACAAGTAAATCAGGTAAATCTTCATGAATTGATTGAAATAAAGATGAATCATAAAAAAATTCTGGTATACATTCTTCCGGTGTCCAAAAATATAAACGTCCTATTGATGATGGATATTCATTTGGTACCCAAATTGAACGAACATTCTTTTATTTCAAAAAAGAAAAAAAAGAAACCAATATATTTAATATTAAAAAATACCAAATTACATCACATAAAGTTCGTTTTTCTGTTCGACGTGCTTTATAAACATAATAAGTTATTGATGAAAGATGTTCACTTAAATGATGTGGTACAATATTTGTTGTTAATGATGATAGTGATGATGAGTAGTAATTATATGTTAAATCAAGTTGTGCATCTCCTTCATAAGAATAAAGTATTGAAAAAAATAAAAATAAAAATATATAATTTCAAGAAAGAAAACCTTTATTTAATCGATATTTTGATTGTGATAAATCTCGAAGATTAGATGTTGAACTTGTAAAATCATTTATCCATGGAAATATTAAATGATTATTTGGATCATGAAATTTTCTTCCAGATAATGCATTTAATATTAATAAATAATCAAAATTAGATATATGTCCAAGTTGCCATTGTTTTATTAATTCAACAATATCAATATGTGTTCGACAATATGTTTCATAACGATGTTCAACATGATAAACAGATGAATGTAATATTGTTGTTGTTCTTGGTGATATTTTTGTTGTTATAACTAATGAATCATCATTAAGATATGATATACGAGGTTTTTGTTTTGGTATTGATGAAAATGATGCACTACTTGTACGTGATCTTGGTTTAGATAATGAATGATTATGATAATCATCATCAACATTATTATTATTATGTAATGTACTACAATCAGACGCAAATTCAATTGTTGCTAAACAAGAATGAAAACGAGGTTTTAATTGAATCCAATATCGTTCATTTATATGAATATCTGTTAATTGAATTGGACCACAACTAAGACCACGTTGATGTATAAATAATATTGTTTTAAGAAGTTGATATATTATAAATAAAAGACGTAAATGACAACCATCAAGAGCATATGGAGAATACGTAGAAAGATCACGAAGTGTATACGACCATGATTCATAAGTAAGTAATAATGTTTGTTGAGTCAAAGTATAACTTTCTAATCAAAATATGGAAAAACAAAATATGAACTTCACTTTTTTCATCAAAAGTAATATAAAGAACCGAATCCTTATATTCTATGAATTTCACTATTGGCCCTTTGATACATAAAGGATAGATCATCTTTGAATTACATTCTATCATCGATCAAAAAAAAAACGAAAGACTATTGCTCAATACTTTGAAATCATAGTCCAAGACGGATCAAGACGATTGACTAGTTAAGAGCTCATCGAATGCAAAATTTTTGGACCCGGATCTCACCAAACAGGCTCTAGACTAGTTTCAATCAATCTACAACAATGATCGAATTCGAAATTCTCACATTTATTGCATTGGATGACAACTGTTGCTTTTTTTAATTTGATAAATTTCTGAATGAAATTTTGTGGATTATTCCAAAAAATCAAATATATTTTATCCTTAAACTTTGATAAATACAGTTCATCGAATTCAATTAAAAGATCCAACCACAATGCATATAGTTATTATTTTAGAATGTGTTATTTTTAACGACTAAAAAAAGCTATTAGAGCCATCCTGGCGAGATTAAAATGTGAAACATGATGTAACTGCTGTTACTAACCATAGGAATATTGCTTTATTTCAACTATTTTTGGATACATTTCTTCACCATCCTCTCCAGGAATTCATTAACGAAGTAGTTAAATATATTATAACGAAATTTTATTGATATACAATCTGTGATTGTCTCTGGTTAGTGTCTGTTACAGTATTGTATGAAAATCCAAATTTTTACCCTTATACTTCAACATTCCTTTTAGATCATATTTCACAAAAAGAGATTAAAACCGAATCGAGATTATTTGTAAATCAATAGAAATATCCAATAAATAATAACTTTGATATATTATCCATAAACACTTACTTAAAGGGAATAAATTTGCTGTTGATGATAGATGTACATTTGTATTTGTTGGATCCAAATTATACAAAAGTTCAATAGCCGCTAATAAAGCATCAGAATGAGACTAAACAATAACAATCATAATGATTTTTTGTTGTTGTTTTATTAAGTTTACATTTAAAATAAATACATACACATTTAATTGGTGTATTAGATTCTGTTTGAAAAAGTGGTAAATATAAATGTCTATAAATATGTCTTTCATACCACTGTAATATCATACGTAAAGAAGCATTTTCAGTTAATTGTTCATCAACAGTAGTATCCGTAATTTTACTATAATAAAATAAGACAAAAAAGAAAAATAATCAACTTATATTGATTTCTTACATTAAGAATGGTCCATCATTAAGAAAAATTTTTTCAGTAACACTTGACATTCAAGTTTTATTTTTTTCTTAATTTTTTTATTCTATGATAATAAATAGAAACAAAAAAGAAATAAAGAGTATTTGATTGGATATTTATTTATTTATATGTATATTTATCTTTGTCTCGGTTAATTAATACGAACAGAAAAAAAAGAAAAACTTTACAATAGCTTATTCAAAAAATATACAAGATCAGTCATGGGGATCCCACATATTTCCATGTGAATCCGGTTGATTTTTATATGTCATATCGACTATCCATGGTTTATCTAAGAAAAAAAAAATTTAATAGATACACAAAAATCTATTAAATAAAAAAATTAATTAACCTGTTGATTCATATTTTACTGGTGGTAAATCATATGGAATTGGAAATGATGATGAATCAAATAGAGGAAATATTGTTTGTGAAAATTGTTTTGGAATAAATAAAACACCAATTTCATATCTCAAAATATATTCATTTATTCGAAAATGATGTATTTCAAAATATACTTACGATCGAATCATTAATTGTGTATTGTTCTTTTCTAAGACACCCCAAGCTATGAAGATAATAAAATAAAAATTATAAATCTAGTCATTTTTTTTATTTAAATAATCAAACCAGCTTTTGATAAATTTGCACTAGTTACTAAAAACCATAGAAGATTTTTATATTGATCATTTGTTACTCGTAAATATGTTTTAATATGTGGTGAGGCTCGACTACGTTGACGATGATCAGCTTTCCATCGACTAAAGTTTATTTTTTTTATATATGACGAAAGAAAAAAAAAACAAAAGATAATTCAATAAACATACTGAAGATAATTAATAAGCCATGTTTGTTTCATTGCAGTTTGCATATTCTTATCAAATAGAATAAATATTTATTAAAAGAATAAGAAAAAAAGAAAACAACAGCTTACATAGGGTAAACTTCCACCAGCAATATAACCTTCGAATGATGTACGAACATTTTCAACAGTTGGATAGATTAATTTTAATTCTGGTGAATCAAATGAATTTGTATTGAGTTGTTTGAGTGATGTAAGAAATTCTTTTGTTAACCAAGAATTTGCATTTGGACCTAAAGATCCAATACTTGAAAACTTAAAGAAAATATTTTAAATTAAATTTTTTGAATAAAAGAAAATTAAAAATAAATTACTTGTCCTATAATTGGTGCTGAATAATATTGTTCATTATTTTCAAGATTAAGATAATTTTTTAATGTCTAAATAAAGTATAAAAAAATATATTAAAGGAAATTCTTCATTAATTCTTTACTTGACGAAGTTTTAAATGACCAAATTTATTTATATTAGCTCCTGTATGACGACCAGGTGTTGAACTAATTATATGAACACTAAAAATAAATTACAATAAAATCTTTCTTAAATGAACATGGTCAGAACTTTTGAAAAGTGTTCATATATAGACGATGTTGTATATATTTTACTACGAAATAAAAACAAAAGTTCTAGAATCTAAACTTCTTTACTAGTTTAAAAATAATAAAAGATCATGCTCAGTGCTTTTTTTAAGAGTAGGCTTTGCAAGTCTTGTGGCTCCGTCGCCTATCCTTATTGGACACGAGTTGGTAGTCGATAAAATGTGTACTGACCTTGTAACAACGCATCATATGTCAGAAGAAAATGAAAAAATGTTATATTAAATAAAGTCTATCTAAACGCTTATCTATCCAACATAGAGTGAGCTCGAGCCTACACAAGCCTTTACCTTTTTCATCTAGGATAGACTCTGACCTATCCAGGCCTCGTGACTCTGCTGCCTCTAGTCTTCACTTATGTAAATTTGATCAACGTTGATGTGTACTTCATAAAATTTTATTATGTCAAAACTGTTGAGTTTTCGTCTTTAATTTTGGATTGATTGATAATCATTTAAATATTCGACTTTTCAGCTAATTTATGTTGTGATTTATGATTATCAGCGTTATTATCATTAATTAATCGAATTTTTTGATTTTATGTAAGATAGTGTTGAAATTTCATTGCATTCCCTGATATGTGTAGTTATGATAAATTATGAACAGCAGTTTAGCAAGAAATGATGAAGAGGAGGAGAATTACGATGGTGATATGTATAGTATATATCCCTATTTTCATAGGGTGTGGGTGCGTGTCTCCTGTTGACTGACACCCATACTCACTACTCACACTCACATTCAAACCCTATAAAAATAGGGGTGTATACTACAGATATCATCATCATAATTCTAAAGATCCGCAAGTCCCCCATTTCAATTTGAAATCGAGTGTCTTTTTTCTTCTAAACTCCGATTGAAATCAAAAGAACCATTGTACGAAGAGAAGAAGAGAAAAAAGTGCACATATGTTCATTTAAAAGAGATTAAAATAACAATCAGGACTGTAAAAACAATGTTCAAGTTCAGAATATGAAAAATTTCACTGTATTTATGATCTAATCTTCTCTTTTTCAACTTACTTGATGCTACTAAAATCATGTTCATTAATAGTTTTCTGCCAAAATTGCAATTGTCTAGCACGATATTGTTCAATATAATCAAGTAAATCTTTTTTAAAATTTGTTTTCGATTCTCTAGTATCATTAGTTTTTGGACAAATAGGACTAATCCAAATACTAAATATTAAGAATAAAAATAAAATGTTTTTTTGTTTTCAATTTAAATTAACAAATAAAATTACCCTTGTGTTTTTTGTCTCCAATCTTGTGAAATAAGATTTGCTGTATGAATAACAATACGTAAACCAGTTTCATAAAGTAAAAACATCATTTTTGTATGATGTGTACCAAATGGTATATCAAGACGAGCTGGGCATAATTCAATTTGTGGATATAGTGAACATTGAGTTTTTAATGAATGATTATCATCTCGTGAATCACCATGAACAATTAATAATGGTTTTAATCTAAAATCATATTTTATTATTTTGTTTTTCTTTATTCATGTTCAAATAAATAAATAAATAAATAAATAAATCTTACCGAAATTCAGATGGATATTGTTCAAGTAAAAATTCAATATCAAACATATAATTAAATTGAGCAGAACGAATAAGTTGTCCATGTTCAGTTGAAAGAATTTCTAATAAAAACACAAAACAAGATTTTCTATGAAGAAATATTATGAAATAATATAAAGATACCTTTTAGACTAATTGCATTTGTTTGATTATAATTATCTTGTATTCCATGAACAGTCGAAAGAAAAAATCGATATGGTTCACTTTGTTCAATTTTTTCAACTGGTGTTAAACGTTTGTTGACGTCCTTTGCCGATGTTGATGCACTGGTAGCTAAAATATAATTAGTTGTAAAATTTTTTTTCAAAGATCTGAATTTTTTTAATATTCTTCTAAGGAAAAAAGTTTATTGTGATCCGCATATATTTTCGTTTTTAGTTATAAATGAAATGTTTCAGGTCTTGCCGTTGTTCTTATCTTCAGATGTAGCTATGGTACGAGCATGCCTTTTACATTGCTCATATATAACGACAGATTCGACGTTCTTATTTCAGAATAGAAGCAAATCAAAAGACCGAAAGCTTTCACAATAAACTGTTTTCGTTAAGGCCTGTTCTTGGTACAAAGTTTCAAGTCAAAATTCGAAAATCAGTTCTTCTGAAAAGGTCTACGGCATTTATTTAAAAACCATTGTAAATTTGCAGTGTCTACACAACAATAAGCTAAGAACCCGAACTCTTTTTCAGGATATTCAAAACTTATTCAGATCTACACGATGCACATAATTCCAATTCAAAAGTGATTAATCAATCAATAGAAATTTTGTTCGTAAGTGTAGTCTAATGATCATTTTATTTTATTGTTTTTTTTTCTGCTCTAAGGTATATCTTATTGTCTTTAATCTTAAGTTTGAAATGTCGACTAAAAGAAAGAAAACTGACAAATGAACTGTAGGATTTGTAAAAGTACCACGATTATAACGGATCAAATATTCAAAATTAACTCAACGAATCCTATTTAGGAAAAAAAAAGTAATTTACACAGATGATCATATTCAGCTGTATGTTTTGGATTTTTTTGTCGATAACATTTCTCGCCATATTCACATATTTTTTTCTTTGTAATATTGTCATCAACAAATGATGGTATTGATTCTTTGCTTATAGTCGATATTAAAGATGTTGAATCAATCTCTGTTTTAAGTTTTTTTGCTTCAATATCATCATTCATTAGTGAAGAAGCTGTTCGTTTATTCGTCGTCATTTTAAGGCAGAACAAAAACAAAAACCAGAAGTCAAAATCTAAAAATTTTAATTTTACTAACAAAAAGATATTTTAAAAAACAAAGACAAAAAAAAGTCTTTTTTTTTAAATACAACAATAAAAGAAAAAGATATTTCATATTATTGTAAATTAGATAATAAAAGTAATGATCGTATCGAATAACTAAATTTTTTTGTTACTAAACTCATTTGATAAGAAGTATCATCATTTGTTGACCATATCTGTTGTAAATACCAAAGTGTTGTTGAAACATATACAAATAAAAAAATACTAACAAACAGATGAGATATTGTTATTATACAAATATTTCGAAGAAATATTAAATCGATTTTCTGATTATAATAATAATTCTAATATTTAAAAAAATTTAGTTTTTTCTTTTATAAAAATATGATTTAATTTATTTTACCTTTTCAACATCCATAGATTATTATTCTTGGTTTAGTCTAACATATATGAATACGTTTGATACATAGAATCACAAATAATGAAAAAAGAAACAATTATATAATCATTTATCTATAAGAAAAATAACAAAAAAAAAAAGTAACATTTATTTTATGTCATTAAACATAAATGTAAGGATATCCTTTAGCAAAAAAAAATAAAATTTTTCATTTTTTTTTCTTTTCTTTCATTAAAAACTATAACAACGGATTTTCGAGTAGACGTAGAATAAACTGAAGCGTTCATTTTCAAGATTATATTACAAAATCATAAGTTGAATATAGGTCTTTAAAAAGAAAAACTATACAACCATTTAAATGAAGCAATAACAAAAGAATTTTATTTAATGAAACAAAGATTTACTCAGCACTTTTTTTTTCATCATTTTTACTTATGATTATTGACAGCGAGAAGTGCACCAGTCAATTTACTACGTTTCGGCCGTCCACTTGCTTTCGAAAATTCTTCTTCGACTAGACGTTTTTATTATGATCCAAGTCAAACACTCATTCTCAGTATTTGAGCATCATTTCACTTTGAAAAAACAAGCTGGCTGAGATCATCAAAATGTAACGGATACTCATCCTCAAATTCGATGATATTCGAGAGGATATAAACATACAGAAAATGATAATTAATAGTTTCCTTATATGATGATATATAATTCAATCTAGAAGCGATTATTGATATCTCGGAAATATATTGTGTAGTTAACGATCAACATAAACGAAATTTTTCTGTCTGTAAATATTTTTGATAATAACTTCCGCGGTTAGATACATCTTATATCACTCTACAAAATGCATATAGACACTTGATAGATTCTCTTTCTTTTCTGAGAAATATATGAGTCAGAATGAGGTAAAAGCAACATATCTGCAAACAGCTCAAAAAAAATCTGATCAGTTTTTCTCGGAAATAAAAAATAACCTGTTCGTGAGAATTTTTCAAAAAATGCGTTATTATTTCTTGTACAAAACGCATTTATTCAACAACTTTTGAAACATTTCACAATTATTCTTTTTTTCAATTAGTTTCAAGGGGGATTTCGATGATTTGCATGACAAGAAATGTTCGACATTAAAATCAATGTCAAAATTGAAAGCTGAGTACTTCAACGAAAATTTTATCTATACTCTCTCTCACTACTTTTTTGTCCAGAGTTTTTAACTGTGTTCCCCCAGGATATGATCTTCACTAAAGTACTCAGCTTTCTATGTTAACCTTGGTTGTGTTGTTGAACAATTATTTTCGTGAAAATGATAGAACTTGTGTCTAAAATTTAATCGAAAAGAGGATAATTATGAAAAATTTCAAAAGTTTTCAAATAAGTGCATTTTGTAAAGAGAATGACGGCGCAGCTTCTGAGAAAATCAAGACACTTAGTCATGATTTTTAATGTCAATAATATTTATGAACAGAAACTTTTCATCTATGCTAATCTTAAACTTTACATATATATATATATACTTCCGATAGACAAGCCGGCAAATTATATCAAGAATAAAAATCAAATCCATCCTAACAGAATAACATACTTTTTTAATGCATTGTAGATTATAAAATACTTGAGAAAGGATGATAGATTTTCATTTTTTCGTGCGAAATGTTTTATTTATACCAAAGTCTCAAATGTCCGGTAAGCAGAATTTTGTATGATTTCTATCGATCACATAAGAGAAACGGTTATAATCAATACATAGGAAAGAAAAAAATAGGAGTATGACAAATATCTTTTCATTTTTTTTATTTAACATAGGTATCGTGTCAAGAGTAAAGTAGAAAAAAAATCCAATAGTAAATGGATCTGTTTCGACAAGGAAAAAAAAAGAAATGCCAATGTATTCAGGGCTCGTGAAATCAGTCGTCTACTCTACTTGAGTGGCAGTTGAGTAGATTTTTTTTTCTATTTAATAATGAACTCTTGACATATGTGTTGCTATTTTTATATAGAAAAGAAGAAGTAGGTTTTTAGTAAAAACTGAAAATATGTAATTCAATGCATAGCTTTATGTTATTCATAATAACTTTCGCAACATTAAATTTTTATACGTTTTATATTAAATCTAACTTGCCTTTTTTTTTGTTCTATACATCTTTATTTTCATAAGAAAATTTTACTTGATTAATTAGAAGTAGAATTTCTTGTTATGAAAAAAAACATTTCTTCTTTTCACATTCAAAAGATTATATAAATTTCTATTTTAAATTTCACAACATCAAGAAAGATTACCTCAACTTTTTTTCTTATCATACTAATAAAAAATCTATTAGTATCAAATTACACAAACGAATAAAATATAACGGTTGAGCCATAAAAAAAATGATACCATCAGTCTTTTTTTTGATTGTAACTTTTGTTTTGTTTTCAACTCTTAGACAAAATATATATCGAACTTATTTCTATAGAAACTTGACCAGAAAAAATAAATAAAAAATACTTAGCATATATCAACAAACCAATTTTTTAAGCTGAAAAAGTATTTTTTCCGAGGACGTTCATTGAACTATGTGACAAAAAGATGAGGCTATATACATTTTATAGTTCTCGAAAAAGCTCTATTAAATGACTAAATGGTATATCAATTTTCTCCTTCTTAAATTTCAAAAAAAATCACTTGTTTCAATCTGAAGTTAGAGAGCTGCTGAAAAATAACTTCACAGTTTGTTTCTTAAATTCAGCTAGGAAAAAAAATTTTTAAATTGCAGATTTTTTCAATGCTTATCGTAATTACAGCAAACTTTTGTCTACATAACAAAAAAGAGAATATTTCAAAATACTCAAAAATATCTTCACGTTTGTTTCGTTATCTACAGAATTGTTTGAAATATTTGAAAGGTGTTATACCAAAATAACTACGAAAGGTGTTTCATTTCTACGTGTTAATTAAGTTTTAATTGACAATATGACACCGTATTTTTCCGGAAAAATAATTAAGTATAAATTGTGAAAAGAAAAAAAGTTATTATGAAATCATTAATAGTATCATTCTTTTTGGTCCGTATTTTTTCTTGACATTCAACAACAGTTTTGATTCAAGTATCAATATACATATAACTCTGAATCATTAGTTTATTTAAGATATGTTTCTATCTATTCCCAAATTTTTCTTATGAGCAAATCTTTCCGCTGTATTCTAACAAATGATGAAAAAAAAAACTTTTTCGTTATATTTATTTGAAAATTTCATTGCACAATATTAATTTACTATTATGAAATAAACTTACTTCCATTTGATTTTCCATTATTTGAAAATTTCATATTGAGTATTATTTAAATTAATCATCTAATCTTTACAAAAAATAAATATTATGTAAAGATTTATATAAATTTTTCTCGAATAAAGATATAATATTGTATTTATTAGTAAAATTAATCACAAGTAAATAAATATAATCACAACAAAAGAAAATTATTATTCGTATCAAGTATAGAAGAAAGACAATTAGAGTTATAATCACAGTTTACAAATGAAATACTTTACCAAAACTACGAGATTAACTAACTAATGTTAAAGACTAGAAATCAAAAAGATTGTTTTGTATGAGATTGCATTGAAAAAAAAATTTCTTCAGAGATCTTTCTTTTTTCGTTTATCTTCTTCCTAATAAAGAAAAAAAAAAAAAAAACAAGAATTTTTATTTTTTTAAAAATATAAAGTAACTCCACAAATTGATCATATAGATTTAAATTCTCTTAAATTCTTGTTGGAAACAATTTTTACTAATCAAATGATTATATGGGTTGTCTATCCAAGTTATCATTACGAAAAAAAAAATCGACATTAAATCTGTATGATCAATTTTTTGGAGATATTATTTCTATATTTACACTTACTTTGGCACCTTTACCATAATAAGGTTTATTATCAATAGTAACTTCTTGACAACGATCTTGTTGTACAAGAAAATCTTTTACATCAAATCCTTGTGAACCATCAGATAAAACAAGTAAAATACGATTATCATCAATAACATATCTGAGTAAAAAATAAATAACAACAACAACAACAATCATTTTTCTTTTGAATTAAATTTAAACCAAAAAAAAGAAAAAAGAAATTTACCTATTGACATCATATAAAGCATTTTTTAAACCTGACCACCATATTTGAGTAATTTGTTCAGTTTCTCGTCGTGTTGGTGAACCCGAAACAGTAGCAAACATCATTAATGTTTGTCCTTTTTTTGATAATTTCATTATTTCTTCCTGTGGTTTACCAACTAAATCTTCAGGTCGAATATTAGGTCGATTTTTACTACGAAAAAAATAATCATCTCGTTCATCTTCAGGTAAAATATCTTCATCATTATCCTAAAATTTGTGTATACATATATATATATAGAGAGAGAGAGAGAAAAGAAAAATTAATAAAATTAAATTTTACCTCCCACTCTTCAAAAAGACTATCTGCATCTCTATCTGTATAATCTCGTGGATCTTTTTTTAAATGTGTTTTTTCCCGTTTAGGCCTATCATCATGTCCATTTGTATTATCAAATGTATAAAGTAAAATAAAACAAATGATGAGAAAATAAAAGGAATTCATTGAGATTTTTTAATAGTATAATTAATTGGACGTTTTGATTGTTCACCGAAATTGATTTATTTGCACTTTTTTTCTTTTTATGGAATAATAATGATAGTATCTACTTGCCACGCTACGTCGTTCGATAGGATGAGAATATGCCTGATTGAAGAAATTTTTTATCCAATCAAAACAAAAACCGTTTTGAAAACTTATTAACGATTATTAATGCCATCTGGATTTTTCAAAACGAAAATTTTATGTAGATCAATAGCTTTTATTCAATATTCTCATTTAAATACAAATCTATAATTGACATATTGTAAACATTAGGTACGTTTATAAGAACAGTGCCTACAATCCTTGATGTGCCATTGCCAATTAGACCAATTATTGTCGAGAATGTTGTCAATACTGAGTCTTTTAACACTTTGATTACTGACAAAAGATAAACATACGTAATATAGAGTGGTTATACATCACACATGTTTGTGTTTCTTACGGCAGAAGTTTAGCATGGAGCTGTAATAAAAATGACAATGTAGAAAGCTTTTGTTGTCTGATGTTTACATTTACTCAAATGTACATATAAAGAAAAAGTCATACGATACAAGTAATTGGATTAGTTTGAAACAATGATTAAGTTACTAAAGAGTTAATTAACATCAACGACAGATTTAGTGATAATCAACTCAAAATTGTATAAGTTGAAAATGGCATCGTTTAGTAATCGGTGATTTTTCATAGTCGCAAGGATAAAAAAGAGGACACTGCTGTTTATAAAATTCGATATAAAACTTATCAGTATCGCAAGAAGAATCATAGTTACAAGAACTTATATGTCATAGAAATATATTTGCTTCTCGTATGTGTCTTACAATTAGGAATGATCATCTTTCAATAATAAACAATATCCGATAATCAATATTTTTATATTTGAAAGATTGACGATTAGTACGGTAAAGTTGTTCAATCGTTTGATGACATATTTCTTTAATAAATTCATATATAAAAACAATTGCTTTGTATAGATTAATAATTCAAGTTGTTTCTTCAAAAGTTTTCCCTCTTATGAGAACTCGAACAACTTGCTCGCAGGTATGGTTATTCTCTTCATCCATACCCTCAAGTGTCCTAGACAGGTTTTATGATCCTAATAGTTTACTAAATTTCATTCAATTTTATTCGTATTCTTCTTCGATTATTGAAAGCTATAGATATATATCATATTCGATATTTAAGTGTGAAATTGACATTATCAAAAGTCTAGAAAAATGAATTTATATATTTGTATGTTATTACAGATTGATTTTATGTCGAGCAAAAAACAAAAGAATAATTTCTTCTACAATCTTTTAATATCAAATAAATTTAACAGAGATTCAATCTGATTTTTAAATATTTTCATTTCTTTATCGAATGTCTTATCATTATCTTTTTTTGTTGTTAACTAACTTTTATTTAGTAACAGAATGAAGAACAATTTGATAACAGAAAAAAAGACAGATGTATATAATGTAAGAAAAAGTTTTACTTTTCATTCTATAACAATTAGTCATCTGTTTTGTTTTTATTTGTAAGTTAAATAATAATACACTATTAAGATTTTTTTGGAAATAAAATGGATGGTGAAAGTTTTGCTGAAAAATTAAAAAAATTCAATCAAAAACCTGTCATGGGAATTCGTATATCTAAACCACATATTACTCATAATGAATCATCATTAGATTTATCTCAACCAGAAAAATCAGAACGATTAAAATCTAATGATTTCAATCAATCATTTGGTAAGTTTATGATTTATTCAAAAATATAGATTATATCTATAAATAATTATCTTACCTGTTATTTTTCTCAATAATCAATGAATTCAATTATGATTTTATTAAGATTTTATTCTTGTTTTATTTAGATGATATCAATTCAACAAAATCTGATCATACGACTTCATCATCAAAAACATCTCTTCCACATGATACAAATTTAGCACAAACCTTTGTTTCAGGTTTAAAAAAATCAACTGTAACATTACCGAAATCACCGACTATCGATCGAAATGAAAATAAACATTCCGAATCATCAAATCATTTACAAGATACTACTAGATCTTCGAATGTTTCTTCAAATGTAATTAGTAATACAAATTTAAAGAAGCCACCTGTAGTTTTACCTAAATCATTTACTAACAATCGAAATGAAAATAAACAATCCGAATTATTAGCTATTTCACAAGATACAATTTTATATTATCCCTATCCTTCCAAACCAAACACATTTACTGATGTAAAAAAACCACCAGTGTCTCTACCAGTTTCAGTTAATTCAGATTCGTCATCTAATTTAGATAAAGAAGAAATGCCATCTCCTGTTATTTCTTCAAATACAAATAAAGGATCTGTACTTTCATCGAATTCCATTCATCTAGATCAGCATGAAGATAATCATAATGAATTCATATCTATTTCACTTAATACAATGTTATCTCCGAAATGTATGTTTTATAAATTTGAAAGCTCGATTAATGATTATAAACGACGAGATCCTCGAACAATTATATATCAAAAAATGAAAGTACCGATGCCAAAAATTTCAACAAATGAAATCAATATTCTTCAACGATATTCAAATAAATAACAAAATGGACTTATATATATAATTATAAAGAAATCAAAAAACAAATTTTTTTGTGTATTGGTGCAATGATCTATACTATTGAAATAAAAAAAACAATAAAGAAAAAAAAAACTTCATGCCAAAATACACACACAAAAGGATAAGGGAAAATATCATATAATATAGAATTTTGAAAAAAAGCATTTTATTTTTAAAATTTCTTCCTCTTCAACTATAAAGATTTATATTAACTGCAATTAATGGGAATGTTGATGGACATTATACGTTTTAACGAACATTATCCCTGACTTGACTAAATGATGACCATGTAAAAAAAAAAGAACATATGTATGTACGTCATCCATACATAATTGTTCTCATAAGAAACAAGGTCAACAATAACTGTAATAGTTCTCCATCAATACATCGCAATTGGTCTATTCAATTTATGTAAACATAGCTGTTCATCAATACTGTAGTATGTAATATTACGTAAATAAACGAGAGTTTTTATCACCGGATAAATTTAAATAGAAGAAGGAAAAAATGTATTTGTTTTTTTGTAACTCTTTGTTTTTTTTTTCTTGTTTATCTGTGAAAGACTTGCAGCAAGATTACATAAGTAGAACGAGAGAAAATAATAAACTAAACATTTGAACCATTTTGTTGAACTGGTTGAAATCCTGCTTTATAATTTCGTTTCAATGAACGACGAGTTAAACACCATACTAATGTACCAACAAAGAGAAGACATAATATTGTTATACATACTAATGATAATGATATCCATTTAAATGTTTCATTTTTCAGTTCTCTTCGACGTTTTTCATCATATAGATTAATTGTTGGTTGAATATCATCAATTGTTGATGTTGAATCGATATAGTCTTCATAATCATCTGATAATATTGCATTTGGATCATTCGAATTATCTACTCGAAGTGGTGATACATATGAATCCTACAAAGAAAAGATTTTTGTCTTTCTATTCAAACAATATGTTAAATAATCACTTTTGTATTTCTATCAGATGATTCAATACGTTCATATTTATTATGTATTTGTGATTGATGATCACCAGGTGGGTGTCGATGGACATAAGATGGCAATTGATGAAGAACTGTTGTTATGATGCCATTATCAATAGGATATAATGATGTTGTTGTATTAATTATATCATCATTAGAGGATGATATTATTTGTTCATTAGTCAAGTTTTTTATTAGTGGTAAACGAAAATTTTTAACAATATTACATTGACTTAATTGGCAACGTTCTTGTTGATTTTCTGAACATAAATCTATATATGATTGATCAGCTTTTTTATTTAATATTGTTAAAATAAAATCATAAATACAATCACAATTTTCAGCTTGTGGTGGTGATATAATTATTGATGGATTTAATTTATGTTGTTTTTCAATAAAACGTGCTAATACACATCTTGATGATGGATATAATTGATCGAGAACTATTTTTGATGCATCAAAATGTTTTAAATAATCTAAATAATTTAATGAATGTTCAGATAAATAACGAAGATTTTGACCAAGTGTAAAATATCGTATACGTGATACATGTTGAAAAGTATAATCTAACAACAAATTTTTTGTGTTTTTATTTTAAATTAAATCAAAAAAAAAATTGAATTTTAAAATGAAAAAATACCTTTTATTGTTTCAGCATCAAGTTCAATTATTTCAAGACTAATTATATATTGAAAACCATCAAATGTACGATTATCAAAGAAAAATTTTGGTCGAATGAAATGAAGACCATGTAAATTTCGATAATTTATAAATGTTGAGGCATTCATTTTTCTTGCTTCATGTGCTTCAATAATCATTGAACGTACAGGATAAGGAGGAAATTCTTCATTTGAAATAGTTTCAACCATTTTAGTAAATTTAGCTAATCGAATTTTACCATTAAAATTTTGTCTATAAGTTTCGTTACTACGAAGTGTTGAACCTAAATAAATATTTGTTATTGAAAGGAAAGAAATATATATATATATATTTCTTTTGTTTTGTTTTACCTTCAATTGTTAATTCACCAATATTTGTATTATTAAATATTTCTTCAAATGAATATGGTTCTAATGATGATGTATGTAAAAACATTTGATCAACTATTAATTGATCAAATGCTTTCGATGAAAATGTTATTTGTCCATTAGATGTTAATTCTAATGTAAGAATTGTTTTATAATTAAAATTTCGTTTAAATAATTGATTAAATGAATAATCTTCAAAATGTAATTGAAGAAAATTAGGAAATGATAAAATAATTTTAATTATAAATTTTTTTTTTCCTCGATTTAATTGTTTCGTTCGAGGAAATAAATAAGATAATTCATTAAAATACATTGAACTTACATTAAATTCATGATTATAAAATATTAAATGAAATGAATCAAATGAACGATTAATTTGTTGAGTTTCATTTATTAATTTTATTTCTTTAAACATTGAATTTTTATAATTATTACATATTAATTGTTCAATATCACCATTGAATGATGAATGACATTCACATGACATATTTTCAAGAATATCGCATGATTTTCCTCGCACATTTATTATGCAGATAACAATAAGAATAAGTATATAGATTATACGAGTCATATTTGATGAATAATGACTAGACTAGTATCCGTCTAAAGAAGAAGAGAAAAAAAATTGATGAACATATATGTATATCAATCGTCGATTTGTGAGTGTAAACGTGATGATACAATGCTACTAGTTAGTTTTTTTTTTCTTGTTATCTGGATGTTTAGAACATATATACTCACTTATTTCAATGAAAAGACAACGATAATAAATAACCTTACTGATAAAAAAAAGAACTTTAGAAAGTATACAATTATATATAAACATATATTTCGAATTATTTTTCTTCTGTTCTAAACTATTCTGATGCCCTAATAATAACAATTTTCTTTTTCCTTTTACTACATTCTGATGCAATCGTTGACCATCGATCATCGAGAAGTCTATACTGCAAGCATCATACTTTGTTCAGTAACTGAATATGTGTATATAAGAATCTACACGATAGTTCCCTATAGTATTGAAACAAAGAAAAATACAGTCTGCTCTTCCTTCTGGCTACACAGGCACACACACATACGACCGATTATCGTTATAGAATACTAACGATCATTCAATTTCTATTATTATTCTCTATAGAAAGTTTCTCTCTTTAAATGCCAGTGGTTGCTATTTTGTTATATTTATTCTCTTCATATACACATATATATATATAAATAAGTTGATCTTAAAAAATAGCCAAACGTAATAGACCGAGTGAGAAAAAAACGCAACAATTATATAACCGACATGAGAAGTCAAACAGCCTTGTTTTACAAGGATTATACACTTATCATTTCAGCAGAAAGAAAAAGAGATATTCAGGTCAAGCTTTTCCTTTTGTGTTAGGGTATATTACATCATATCAATTATCTCTGGAATGAAATTGAACTAAATTAAATTATATATGTAAGTTAGTACTCAGGAGAAACAGAACAAACTTATCTAAATAAATCGATCAAATATTTTCTAGTAAAAGAAAAAAGTACTGAAGTACATATAACTCATATTAATGTATGTCGTCAACAGAAATAACAACTCATGTTTCAGAACTAGTAGAATCAACAACTGTTCTAACCACCTGTCAAAAGATACGCTTAAAACAGGGGTTAGTTTTCTTGTTTCATTATGTTAAAATAATAATACTTCTACTATCAATATGTCAACTAAAAAACAAGTTACATTAAATATATTCAATAAGTATTAATTAGTGTATTAGTCTACAAATGAAAGTATTTTACCTTGACAATGATATCTCTTTCCATAAAAGCTTCTGTTCTAAATGTTGATGATAATAACATTCTTTTTTCCCTGTCATTATTATTTGACCCTGAAAACACGTATTATATACCGTATGTTTTTTTACTCTACCATAAAATTTTACTACGCATGCTTATCTTACAAAATATTTTTCGGTCTATAAAAAAGTTGATATTTCGAACGTTACTATAAGATAAACGTTAGATAAGGGTGTAAAAATCACACCAAAAAAAAAAGAAAGCAGCGTTTCTTGAACTGTTACATTCTACTGTACAGGTCTACTAATCAGTCGTGCATATAATCCTATCAAACATTTTTACTACCCATTGATTTCACACATTTTAAATGTTAAAATGTATATCAACAAAAGAAAAAAAAAAAAAAAGTATACCTTTCTTGTTCTTCACTTCTATCGGAGTACATACAAAAGAAAACCTTGTATATAAATATAAGAATGACAGAACTGTATTTTATATAAAAATGTCCTTGTCAAACCTTCGGTACTTCCAACTGATAATATAAACAAATCATATGTCTCTACTTCTTATCTATTAGTTCAATTCAATGGTATCTTAAAGAGACACAATTTTATATATGCTGCATTTTTTCTTTGATTTACATATGCATTCGCACTGCGTTTAAATATATATATAACAAATCGAAAATTTAAATATAAAAATGATTGATCAACTTACCTGTATGTTATATTATATGACAACATGCAATACGTCCTTATATTCCTTCTCAAGCTTTAACAGATTACTAGTTGTTATAACATTTCCTTATGCGTCAGCTTACATTACTTATGGATATATATTTCAACTATTTCTAATGGAACATACCATTCTATTTATTTACATACAGATGCAATGAGAAAAAGAATAAAAGCAACTCACAATTTAACGAAGATATCAAACTAGGGTCTCTTTCTTTTTTATTGAAGCAAAAAAAAGTCGAATATGTTTTTTTTGTTCTATTCTGCGACAGAGAATAAGAGAGAAAGAGAGACATACTGATGGAAAAATAAACGAAGACAAGTATATATATTTCTTCTATATAAATAACCTATTTGCAAGTCATTCGTTTCTGATTATTTAAGTACAACCAATTGATTGAGAGAAATAGTTTATTAGTTAGTTTATAGAAAAGAAAAATATAAACGAACAAATAAGAACATTATTCTATATATAGAAAAAAAGATGGACAAAATAAGAATAAATAATTCTTTTGTTTATTCAGATTTTCTCATAATTAAATAGACAAAATCTAAAAATAAAACACGAACTATATGCGTTAATAAAAAATTCAATATGAAAATAAGGATATACAAAGACAAGGATTGTTAGTTTACCAACACAACAGCTCTTATTGTAACAATGACAACAAGACCACTACATTGTGTTGTATTCTATTGTGAAGATTAGATCTTGGTAATCTCTTTATCTACGAATAATTAACTATGTTTATGTAAAATATGATCGATTCTCTATTTGTTTCATCGAAACAAAGAGTCAACATTTTCATTATCATTTAAATATTCATAAAATTTTTCATCGTAACTTTTACAACATTATTATAAATATTATTTTTAATTGTCATCGGTTTCATAGTTGATTACGTAAATATTCAATATAGAATTCATTATCACAATTTAAATTTTCGATATTACACGTATGTATATGATGACTATACATGTAAAAATGAGAATATCAATTTTCTTTTTTTTTTTTTCTTTTTGTATGCTTTTTCTCATTTATTTTATTTGTTAATGCATTTTTCGATAGACGAAGAAAAGAAAGGCCCTTGATATGATTTTCGTTTAATCGAGTCAAGAGACAAGAAAAAAAGAAAATTGATTTCAAATTCCGATAGATTTCATTAACTAAAAATGCTTTTCTTTTTTTTGTATTAATAGATAATGAAGCGAATGACTAAAAAAACCCACCTTTTTTTTTCGAAATATGACTCTTAATATCGATTAAATTAAGTTAAAGAGTAATATAAGATCTATTAAATACTTCAACTTCATCACTAAAAAAACATTCGGTTTGATAGCAGATAACAATAGAATTATTTATCGAACAGAAACAAGAAATATATTTTGAGTAACAATATACCAAAAGCACAAAAAAAAAAGAAATCATATTTTTCCTATTATTTCAGTTAGAACTTAAAAGCGACAATAGGAAAAACAAAACTATAGAAAATTGTCAACTAGATATGTTAGTTTTTTTTTTATTATAGTAATTATGGTTAAGTAACAGAACAGATTAACATCAAAAGCAACAATAAAGAGATTTAAAATAGAATGTCATTTAGTGCTTTTTCTTTTGAACGATGATGGAATATTACTAATATAAAGTATCGCAGTTTGCATATTATTTGATTAAAAAGCTAAAATAGAAAAATTTTAATATTTATTGAAAACGAAAGAAAATTCATACCTATATGGATAACCTTGATATTTCGATCGAAAAATAGAAAGTAAGTAGCTAAACAAAATGACGACCACTACAATACCAACAGCTGCCACAAAACCTAGAATAATAATAATAGTTCAAAGTTTTCTTTTTTTGTTTTTGTTTTTGATCTACTATTTCGTTTTCCCGTTTGAGATTTTAATTTAGGTGCTTCATTTAATAGTATAACGCCAATAGAAACTCCAAAATGTAGAAAAAAAAGAATTTCTAGTTAAGGAAAATAAATTAAATATTTTTTTTTTCCTAAAAAAGAAAAAGTAAATCTAATAAATTAGCAGAAAAGGATATAGAGTAAGAAGACCTAAACAAAAAAAAAAAGAATCTTAATTAATATTCATGTATGTTAATAAAATCATGATGATAAAAGCAATAGCAATTAATGAAATAAGAAACAGGCAATTCAATTCAATATTTTTTTTTGTTATAATACTCCTGGTCCATATGTATAGCTTACAATATAAGTTTCGGCTATGAATTGATATCCTGAAGTTCCACTAAATAAGCCCTAGAAATAATAACAATCAAACGAAATTGAACTCGATCTTTTTTTTTTCTAACATAATTTAAGATTTTTCTTAGAGAAAAACCACTAGCAAAGAATTACATGCGTGTATGTGCATAAAAATTATGAATTGCCTATTTCTATTACCAAAAAATTGTCATTGCTGATGTCAATTTCTTTTTTGAATATTTATCTACGAACTATATATGTTTCAGCAATATATTGCATATTCGAATCGTCAGCAAATAATCCCTGAAAATAATATGTGATAATGACATTCACGCATGTAATTACTTTACCATATTATTTTTATTTTGGGGCATAAATGGTGGTCCATTTATAAGATTCCATGTTTGTCCAGAGATGAAATAACAAACAATGCCCTAAATAAATAAATAAAAAAAACTTAACACTTACACTTTGTCCTGTTTGTGGATTACGATGCGTAAAAGGTGGACCACGTATACTATTCCAAATTTGTCCCGAAATACAAAATAAAATAGCAAGCTAAAAATAGATATAGGAGATCTCTCTTGTCTTGATCTATTGAATTTTCTTTTGTTTTTTTCTTTTTGTCAGTAGGAAAAATAATTTTTGTACATATAAATTTGAAGATAGTAAATACTTACGATTATAAATATTCCCCATACAATATGATTAAAAAGAAATTTGAAACTATCTCGTTTAACATAAAGTAAACCAAGAATCATTGTTATCATTAATATTACGAGTAAAAATCCAGAATAATTTGGTGGACGATATATTTGAATCTAAGAAATATGATAATAATAATTTTAATAATGTATTCATTTTCACTCAAAGCAAAGATTTTTGTATCCATGAGCATAGAATCGTTGAGAACCTTTATAATTGAATTTCGAGTTAAAGCTATACCCATATTAGATCCTATAGTTCATAGAACATCCGAAAATTTCAGCCAGAACGAATATATCTCGGTTAAGACAATTAAATTGTAAAGAAACATCTGCTTTGGGCTCAAAGGATTTCTACACGGGTATGTTTATTCTAACTCAAGCTTTGAAGTGTTTCCAGGACCTCAAGACTATCAAAAAAATTTTTTTTTTCAAATTTCATCGAATCAAGCATCATTAGATGTTGATCCCGAATTTCGGGTTGATATTCAAACAAAAAAAAAACTGAAATTTGATAGAGAAAAATTCATGTTTGAATACGATGCTGAAGGAAGCCTATTTTGATTTATTGTCTTCAGGCGACCGAGTAATTCTATTAGAGAGCCTAAAACGCATACAATGATATAAATAAGATCACTATTGAGTACACCTAAATAAATTAAATAATCAAAGATTATATTATTTCGAAGCCAAATCATCTCTTGTGGTCCATTACCTATCATAAATTCGTGCTCAATGTGATTTCATAGAAGTATTTCCATTACTGAAGCATATTCCACATTTTTTTTGCTTATTTGCGAAATCATATTCAGAGAGAATATGAAAAACTGCATCGATCTATATATGTCATCTATTGATTGGAGATTTCGTTAGTCTAATCAATAGCACTTATGTGGTTCAAAACCTGGTTTTTTTCTTGAATTTTTGAGTATTTGACTTCACAACCATCGAGAACTTAATTTTAAAGACTTCTCTAATATATTTCCGATTTAGAAATGAATAGCGCACATCACTGTATGCATTTTAGGCTCTCTAATGGTATTGTTCGATTGCCTGAAGACAATAAATCAAAATAGACTTCTCCCAGCATCGTATTGAAATTTGAATTTTTCCCTATCAAAAGTTAGGGTTTTTTTTGAATATCAATCCGAAGCAGGTAAAAAAAATGAAGGTTGCTTTTTCACAAGAAAAAGTACTTCATCTTACTCAGAATTTAATGCTGAATCAGAATATGTACTTCTTTTCAAAAAGTATCATGGGCCAGGGGTGGCCCGACTGGGGGTTGTGATAACTCCCCAATAATCGAAAATTTTCGTTTTTCCCCAGCGGAGTCGAAAATTTCTCTTGCGTTCTATTAGAAAAAAAAAATTATATTACCATCTTAAAAATCAGGGACAAGCCCCCAATGTTTGCCGCCTCGGGCCACCCCTGTCATGGGCAAAAAAAATACCTTTATTGCCACTTGTACTTTACGAAAAAAATATATCTATTTAGATCTTTGATGATTATGTCTAATATTGAAATAGATATTGATAATATACTTGATATGAAAGGCTAAGTTTTGACTTGAGAATCCGAGATTGATTGAATTCTACCGTATATATGCACAAACTTACTTCAACATCAGCACGATCATGAATCCATTTTATTATTTGTTCAGCAGAAAATCCCGAACTAATATATAAATAAATATAAATCATTACTTGATATTATTCTTAACTTACCGACTAAGATCCATATAATCACTTTTTTTAGGTTTCATTTTTGGTGGAAAATAAATAAATACTGGTGCTGTATTTAATTTTAACTATGAGAGAAAAAAAAAACATTATCGAAATATTTAACAATAATATAAAATACTACATACATATTGAAATGCATCAGATCCATCATCAAAATCGACCATACCAAAAAACACACTATTTGAAAATGCATTTGAATAACGATAACTTTGTGCAACTATTTGAAATTCATCATATGCTTGTCTTCAAGAAAAAAAGTCCAACAAAAGAAAGAAGGTATTAAATATTTCTTTTAATCTTACTTGCAAATACTACATTGTCGTTGTGGAGATAATGCTGTAAACATAATAAACATTGAATAATTTCTTGATGATGCCTTAACATAATGTTTAAAATGTTCATTATTTAGACGAATAATTGGTTTTTTAAGTGACCATTGTGTTAATTGTTGAATTTTGTCTGATAGAACATCCTGATATATTTAAGATGAATACATTAAAATTCAAGAAAGCATATATTTCAAAAAAACACAAACCTCTTCACTGAGAACATTCAAAGTTATACATGCACAAATAAAAAACAAATACACGAAATATTTCATTTAAAATATAGGTCTTGTTTACACTAGAAAAACAAATTCGATTTTAGTTATTTATGAATTTAATCTATCAATCAGAACTGAGAAATGGTTACTATAATGTAGTTGAAGTACATAATAAAACAAAATGTTGCTTCTGTCTCTCTTTGATAATTAATAACTGACTAATAAAATTTGTTAACAAAGTATCTACCGTTCTAACTTATTTCTTTCAACTACAGATTCCTTATTTTTATACTTCAGCCCTTATTTAATTATATTCTATAGTTTATCATATTGAAAATATTTATCTATCGATAATCGAAAGTGATTTTATTGAGGTGTAAATTAATTATTTTAATTAGTGGATCACGTGTTTTAGTCATTGGTGCATTAAATTTAATTCATCTCTGACAAATATATTAAGTCTGAATTAACTTTTTAACTAATTATAACTTTTCTAGTATAGACAAGAGCTTACGATATTTGATTCAATTCAATTACTTTTCTTTAAAAAGAAAAGACTAGCTGGCTAGCTGGTTAGTAGTTCGTAGCAAATTTTTATTGGATTTTGTTTATTATCGAATGATATACAAATATGATACTTTTTTCAATAGATTTATATGAAAATAATATTGTAAAAATATATCGATATGATTATATTTTAGTTTTTCTATTAAAATAAATCTTTTATAGACAGATGTCATTGATAGTCGTATGAACAAAAAATTTTGTTAGAGTATGAATAGAGAAGAATTCGAATTTAAATAAAAAATAGAAAGATCTTGCTTGCAAATATCTAATCTTAATTAAATTTGCCTTTCGAATGGTTTAATTTTTGTAAATTCTATTATATGTGTATATAATACTGTATAATTCACATTCGGCATCGCCCATATCTTCCCGCGTTAATTTACGCAGTTGGTATAATGCCAACAAAAAACACTTCTTTTCGGTTAACTAAATCAATTTCTTTACCACGAGTAAAATATAAGAAAATTTTCTATTCTTTTTCTTTCGATATAATCAACACACGATGTTTATATTCACTTTTCATGAACAGAGATTTCATTCGAATTTTGTCGCGTGTACACGCTCTTCTTTCTCTTTCGTAGTAGAAAAATCATCTTTTATCTATTTTCTTTTCCATAAGACAAATAATAGCAATCATTATTTCTTTTTTTTTTCTATTCACTATCATTTCTGTTTCATTACTTATTTACATAATCATGCCGAATTACTATAGCTCTTCAGTCAATTGGACGACAAGTGTTAATAGTAATATTAATTTTTCTGTTGTTAATCATATAAATATCTATTGATATTCTTCAGGTTGTCAGCCACTAAAAAAACGTAATCTTCTAGAAAATTTACAAATTGAACCTGATAAAGTTTCTCCTATACCAGCACCAGCACCACCACCATTTCAAGATTTTCTTACAGTTCTTAATACAAAAAAACGAACACATACAAGTTTAAATGTAAATGGTATTACTAGTGATAGTAATGTTTATCTTCTTCATCAAACACCATCACCATTACTTGATCATACAAATTATAAATATCCTAAAATTCGTGCAAGACCAATTTATAATTTTAAATATAATGAAACAAATATTTGGACACAATCATCATTGAATTCAACAAAATTTGATGTAAATATTCTTAATAAATTTTTTGCTAAAGAAACAAAACAAATCAATAGCAATGAACAGCATACGAAAAATTCATCGATGACAACAACAATTACACGACCATTTCAAATACTTGATAAATCATCACAATTAAATTATGATGTAACTATGCGACATTTACTTCAATTATTAGCAAAGAATAATGGTCAAAATGCCACTATTGATGATGTTCTTCATGGTATCGATACAGGAAATATTGATAATGAATGGTAAAGTTTTGCATGAAGTTTGTGTATAGTGAAAGCATATTTTAGATTTTAATAAAGAACTGTATTTATAGAAAAAACTATGAGAAAATTTATCATATGTTGAAATTTAATAAATCATCGTAGGATTTGTGTATATATGTCAGTCATCAGGATACAAAAAATTACGAATTTTAGTCTTAGTTCAGCATGTTTCAATCTACGAATAAGAATTTTAATAATATTTATTGAAATATGCTTTCTATCGTTAATAGTTCACACAAGGGAATTGCACAAACAGATATTTTTTTTTTCTTCTAGGCTTCAATGTGTTCAACGTTTAAATAAAACATTAAATAAACATTTTGAAAAACGACCAGACCATAAAATCAAATTTGAAACATATAATATTGAAAATTTTAATAATATAAATTTAATTGAATTATTTTTTATAAAACTTCTTCATATACCAAATTATAATTTTAAATTAAATTGTTATCAATATCGTGATGAATTACAATTACAATTAAATTTATTAAGTCAATCAATTGATAATCTTATTCATAATATTGAATTAATTTTAAATAATAAATACTTACCTGGTATATTTCAACTTTTATGTTATTTATATAATATTATATCAAATAAATCTGTACCCGGTCTTGATTTTATATCATTAATTGATGCATTAAATTCACCAATAAATCAATTGAATAAAACTGTTGCACATGTTCTAGTAGAAATTCTTAATGAATATTATTCAAATTATTTAATAAATATAATTAATGATGAAACATTAATTGAATTAAAAAAATTTATTTCAATAAAATATGAAAAATTTTATATAGAAATACGTGAAATTTATCAACAATATCAGCAACTTGAATATGAATATATAAATATTAAAAATCAATATGAATTACCATTATTTATTTCATCAATGTTTTTTGAAACAAAAAAACAATTTGATAAATTATTTCAACAAGAAATTCTTATAAAAACAGGTGAACAAAATTTAGCTAATTATTTTTGTTCAAATGATTTAACAATTGATATTTGTTTATCAACTATTGGTCAATTTGTTGATAAACTTCGTCTTGCATATATTGAAAATATGAAAGAAAAAAAACAAAAAATTTCAATAATAAATAATGAACGTAAACATTCGATATTTTTACCAATAAATAAAACATCTTCGTTTTTATCATGTGTTTAATATATAACTTAATTCCGTGTTATTTGCTGTTTTTTATATGTTCGTTGAAAATTCTTTTTCAATTTTTTTCTCCTCGTTGTTATTTTGTTTTTTATCGTGGATTTTTGCATGTGTTTTTTTTTGTTCGATGTTATATACGTTTTAAAAGGAAAAAATATATATATATATATAAAGAAAATCAAAGCATGATACAATATACTTGTTATTAATTTAGTTTTAAAATAGATTTAATCATTATAAAAGAGAGAAAACAAATAGACAGACAAACAAAAAAAAAAAAGAAGCATGCATTGAGCAATTAAAAAGACAAGAAAATTTTCACATATTACAATCGTTTAGATTGAGTTAAACGTTGAAAAACATTGCTGTTCATTGGATTTGTTTTACGTAAATCAATTGTACTTGTTGATGCTTTTCGATTAGTATTCAAACCAGATGATGGAAGAACAGTAGTTAATGTTGTTTTATTTGTAAGAGCTTTTTGATGATGCCAAGATGATGGTGGTTTTCGAAGATTTTTTGGTGATGCTGTTGATGTTGATTGAAGATCACTATTTGAACTAAATAATCGTCGTGTTCTTGGTGATGGTCGATTAGATGATGATGATTCATTATTTGTTGTAGTTGACATATGACAAGCACGCAATGGTTTTTCAGTTGGTCGACTAAATGATGAACGAAGAATTTGACTATTATTAAGAAAAGTATTTGGTGGAGAACGAGTTTTAGTTAATGGTGAAGATTTTGAACTATTAATTGTTGTTGTTGAAACATTTTGACATGAACTTGCATGACCAAGACGAGAAGAAACTTTACGATTTATAGGAGAATATGAACGAAATGATGAATCTGTTACAGAATGAATATTACGAATTTTATTTTTCGATTTCATTGAAGATATACGATGATTAGTCATTGTTATTGTAGTAAGAGTTGAAGATGATGAAACTTCATCAGATTCTATTGTAGTTTGTGCTGTTAAAGATTGAGGGAATGATGATGATGGTGAAGAAGAAGTATTAAGAGTCGTTTTTGATGTTTCATCAGTATCTTTTTCATTCCAAATTCGTCGTGATACAGCACAACGTTGTATATGTCGACTTGATCGAATACCATTAGCTGTATTATTATTATTATTATTATTATTTGTTGATGTTGATCGTACACTTTCAGCTGATGGTGCACGTTTTGTAGATAATGTTTTATTTTGTTGGCCAGTTGAAGTAAATGTTGAATAATTATAAGCTGATGTTGATGTTTTCAATAAACTTGCTGATCGTCCATGAGATAATGATGTTCGTCTATTATTACGAATATGATTATCATGAGTTAATCGACGAGTTGAATTGAATGTAAGACGTCGTGTAAGTTCATCAGCAAGAGTTTCATCAGTTGATATAGATTTGATTTCATTTGAATTCGTTTCAAGTGGACATGATCGTGAAGTTGATTCAACAGTTTCACTTACATTTGATTGAGTTTCAAAACCTTCATCAAGTGTTTCTGAATCAGATAATAATGATGGCATTGTCGGTAAACAAGAACGATTTTCATCATTTGAATTATCAATAGGTAATGATAAACTTGAAGATTGTTGACTATCATCATCAATAGAATTTGGTAATGACGATAACTGAAATCAATCAATCAATCTTTTTTAGAAAATATTATTTTAATTCATCTAGTCAAAGAGATCTTTTAATTCTATTGATTTATTAATACTTACTTAGAAAAAGCAAATTATTTATGGTTTTTTTTTTTATTAAAGAATTTCTAATACCCAAGAATTATAACTAAAGTGCTAATACTAAGCAATGGTAGAAAATAATCATGCATGCATTTGTGTTCATATATTATATTTCATCTACGTTGTGTGTGTTTTTTTTTTTGCTTCAGAATATCAACCATTCATACAAAATACGGTGTTAGCAACTACATGAAAAGAACGAACTACATCAAGAATAAAGCTTATAATGAATAAAACGAAAAAATAACGAGAAACAAAACGAAATGCAACGCTTATAAATGAAAAAATCTCTTTCAAAAAAAAAAAACAACATACTACTGTTTTACAAAAAAAAAAGAACTAGACAACGAATCAAATCAATAATCTTTCATTATGATGTTCAAAAAAAAAAAGAAATCATGAATACATAAAAAAAAATACCAAGAAGAAGATCAATTTGAATCACGCACAACTCTATGATGTATAAAGTTCATTTGTTGAATTGTCGTCGTCGTGATAAAAAAAGGTTATCTTCTTAAATGAGAGAACAAAATAAAAAATACAAAGAGCAACAACAACAACAACAACAACAAAAAATAGAAATCGTTGATTATCATTTTTGTTTTCATGGCCATATTGTTGATGAAATCATTATCAATGTTGAATACCAAATATGATGAAACAAATTCTTGTACCAATGAAATAACTATAAAAAGTAGCAGAAGCAAACAAGACCGAACAAACAAATAAACGGAAAAAAAACAACAAAGAAGAAAACAAAAAGATTTTAATCAACTACTTAAAGGAATCAAAGACCAACAAAAAAAGAAAAGAAAGATGTGTTAGTTAATTAAAGACTAATGATATATTGGAGTTTTTAAGATAAGCTTGTATATACTAGATTTTTTTACCTCTGTAGTATTTTGAATATCAGACGATGACGATGATGTTGATGATGTTATTGGTGTTAAATAATGAGAATTTTCTTTATTATTATCATTTTCATTATTTAAATATTTTATATGTTGAATATTAGTTATTGGTGGTGTTATAGAATTATTATTTTTATAATCAATAGATCGATTTGTATCATTTGGTGTTGATTGATCATTCGATGGATCAAATAAACGTCTTATTGGTGTTGTTAAATAAAATGATGGTTGTATTTCACATACAGATATAACACGAGCTGTTGATGGTAATAAATGATCATCATTAATATTATTATTATCATGAGAATTTATTTCTTCTGTTGTTATTGTTGTTGAACAATCCATTTTTGTATCATTATTATCTTCCTGTTCATGATTTAATGTTGGTGAAAGAAAAACATCGTCCTACAAAAAAAAGAAAAATTAATTTAAAAAAAAAAGTCAAAATAAAATAATTTACTGATTGTTGATCGTGTACTGTTGTTGTACATATTGGAAGTGCATTAAATGGTCGTTTAGTAAAAATTGTTTTTGATGTTGGTGAATGACCACGTTTACGTGGTATTGCATTTGGTAATAAATTTTGTGTACGAATTGTTGTTGTTGTTGTTGTTGTTGTTGATTCCATTGATTCTTGTTGTTCATCATTGGTATAAGATATATCACGTGAAGAACCACAAAAACGTTCACGTGAAGTTTTATTAACTTTATATCGTTGTCGTGTAGTTGTTGGTGTTAATGGAACATTAAGATGATCACGAAAAATATTTGTATCTGAACCATATTGATTTTGAGAATTTCGTAATAAACGTGTTGTTGTTGGTGTTTGAACAAAACGATTATCATATGAACGTTGTTGTTGTTGCTGTTGTTGCTGTTGTTGTTGTTGTTTTAATAATAATTCATTACGACGATTTTGTTCAACATTTTGCATATGTGCAAGACGAATTTTATCAATAAATTGTCCAAGTGTTGAAAAACATATTTCAATTGATAAATCCCATAGACAAAAATAATTTGATAAATCTTTTTCATATTTTTTTATTTTATTTTCATCATCAAATAATTTTGTAAATATTATTTGTATATCATTAAGTGTTGTTTTTATATGTTCAGGTATAATAATTAATTGTTGTTGTAATTCTCTTAATGTTGTATTTAATTGTTTATAACGTGTATATAATAAACGTATATCAATATAAATAGGTATATATTTAATTGATGATAAATCTTTTAATTTTAATAATATTTGATTATCAAATATATTTAATAATGTTGGATATTGTTCTTCTAATAGATGACAAAGTAGATGTGCTATTGTTGTATTTTGTTTAGGTGTACGTGTTGAAAGTACAGATAAAATTGAATCAAAATGAAGACCAGGAATTGTTTTGCCTGTTATACTATTGTAAAGTAAACAAAGTAAATGAAGTATACCTGGTAATTGTTCATTATTTAAAATAACTTGAATACTTTCGAGTAGATCATTAATATGTTTACTGATACGTTCAAGTTGTGTTGGTGCTTCTTCACAAAATTTTAAATAAATTAATTTAAATTCATATGCTGGTACACGAACAAGTTTAACAAAAAATTGTTCTATAAGTACTAAACCATGTGTTGAACCTTTATGTGCTAATACACGTGCTTTATCTTCTGGTCTTTTATCAAATTGTTTATTTAAAGCAGTAACAGCATCAAGCCTATATATATATATATATATATAAATATAAATATTTTTTTTTTAGTTTAATTATAAGAATGTTATGAAAAGTGTGCAACTATATTTTAAGATGTTGAGAAGGTGAAATTTGAGAAAAGCTGTTTTTTTGGTCAAATTTCGAATTGTCAGCACATTAATTCATTTCTTCGAAATTGAATTATCGTTAAAATCAATTCTTTCATCATATCTTTAATCAAAAAAAAAAATTCTATTTCGTAATCAGTATGTTTGAGAAGCCTTATTTCTTTTTCTTTTTTTTATGAGGCAATCTACGTAAGCCATAATGGATTCTATTTAATCAAAGATTTTATTTGTACCGTCAAGCAATATTTAATTCGAGAGTTTAATGAAAATGTTTAAATAATATTTCAATCATTTTCTTAGGAGAAAATCTGTAGGAAAGTTGATTTTACTATTATAACGATTTTATACAAATCTAATATTATAATTGAACATCCATCTATGACGATAAGTTATGTCTTGCATGAATATGTTTGCTATACAAATTTCAAAGATTGAACAAATTTAATAAAGTTTCACTTCTTCTATAAAAACATGTCAAAGAACATGAAAATTTTATACATTTAAAAAAATCATAACTATCAAAATTAGAATTACT